AGAGAGAGAGAGAGAGAGAGAGAGAGAGAGAGAGAGAGTGTGTGTGTGTGTGTGTGTCTGAGCCCCTAAGACCAAGAGACACCATGGACATGCTTATTTCATGTGTGTGACCTAATAAATTATGCCATGTGCCTGTGATTGTGTCTCTTTGTTCCTGGGTACATGGTAGTGTGTGACTTTGTGCTGTTTTGCCATTGTATGACGTTGTGTCTGACATGGGATAATGACTGTGTATGGCTATAGTCTTTGTGACTGTGTAAACTGTTCACAGGTATGTGAACCTGCAATATCATATTATGGTGTGTATAATAATCTGTGGCCCTGCAATCATGAGACACAGTATAAATGGCACTACATCTTTGTGACTCAGTAGAACCACGTTTGAGGAGTATATAAGCGGGTATATGATGATAAGTGGCTGGGTGATTGTTGTATGAGAGGCTTTTGAGGAATGGTAGGCTTGCCATTGTTTGACTGTGTCTTTGACTTTACATGACTATGTTTGCTAGTGTGTATGATACTGGAAGGCTGCGTAATAATATGTGAGGTTGTGACTATGAGTCTTTGTGACTACTTATGACCAGGCTTTCAGGAGCACAATGGCTTGTGATTGTACATTTGAATTTGTGTGGCTCTGCAATTGTGTGAAATAGTATAAATGACACTATAGGTCTCTGAGTGGGCCCATTTGTAACTGGTCATGTGTGAGACTATGTAACACAGGGTAACAGACTCTCTGTGGCTGTGAGAGGCCATGTAGCTGTGGCACAGCAAAACTGACACCACGTGTGAATGGGAGCTCTTGACTGCCACTCGTTCTCTTGTCTTTATACCTTTTTGCCTGCATCCTTCCCTACACAATGGCCTTTCGTGGATCCCTTCTACTCCCTAGATGGTCTCCCAGCTCCTCAGCCTGCCATCCAGGCCTCTCCCTCTCTGCTCTGGCCCCACTGACTTCTCTACATCTGAGACCCCTACCACCTCCACCATAGCTCCCTGCCCAGCCAGGCCCACCTGAGCCCCACACTTCTTTTCTCAGGACATGTCATCCCTGGGGGGATTCCATCACTGTCAGCCAGACCAAATCTTCTCTCCCAAGTGTGACCATCATCTCCCCCAGGGCTAAAGACAGAGGTGGTTTAGGGAGCCCATAGCGAGGCAAGAGGGGCAGTGCAAAAAGGCCTCACTTTTTCTGAATTTGTTGCTTGCTGTCTTAAAGCTGTTATCTATGACCTGAACACTGAATGCTGTGTGTGTGTGTGTGTGAGAGAGAGGGCGGGGGGAGGGGAGAATACAGATTAGTGAGAAGCCGGGATTTTAAGAAGCAAAACTTTTTTGCTCATGAAATATAATTTTATCATTTGTCAGCACACTCAGCTATATAAAATTCTAGACAAGGAAGTTCACATATCCTCAGGACCTTAAGAAAAAGGGTGGAGAATGGTTTAAGCTCAGCATACCCACTTTGGATATATAAACAAGGGCTGCAAACACAAACTATAGGGTGCTCACACCCACCTCTGCCTGGTTAAACTCCGAAGTAAATAGTGCCTGCTTGACATACAAGGGATTGATGTATTGATCACAAAGAACTCTTGTCTATTGATAAAAAAAAAAAAAAAACAGCCGGCCACAGTGCCGGCCTGGCTCTTCATTTGAGGGCTGGGATAGGGGCTTCCCAGAAAAGCAGTGTGGCCAGGAAAGGGGCTCAGGGTAACCCAACACCCCAGATAAGTCTTGCTACTCTCCAGTCCCCTTCACAGTAACAATAGTCACTTCACACCCAGTTTTTTCTCTTTCTGCAGGGCTACACCAGGGAAATCGGATCCTGGTTAAAAGTTTATCTCTTGACCCTGGCCAGAGCCTTGAGCCCCATCCAGAAGGTCCGCAGAGGCTTCGCTCAGACCCCGGTCCCCCTACTGAAAACCCTAGCCAGCGTCCTTCACCACTGAAACGGGCACCGGGCCCAAAGCCCCAGGGTAAGTGGTTCCAAAGAGGGGCAGAGAAATGGCCCAGGAGATGGGACAGAGGAAAGGAAAGGTGGCCAATGGCAGAGGAGAGGACATGTTAGAAGAACAGAAAGCACCATGGTCTAGGGGCAGAGGACTATGGCCTAGGGCTAATGTGTGCATACTACTGTCTTGCCTCAGGCCTGCTCTCTGCCTACCTCCTGCAGAGGTGCAGACTGAGGGTTTGTGGAGGGGCTTGTGGCCAGGCCATGATAGCCACATCCAAACCCAGCTCATTAGGATCTCCCCTCTCTCTTCCCTGTCCATCTCTCCAGTCCCCCCAAAGCCCAGTTACCTGCAGATGCCCCGGATGCCCCCTCCACCTGAGCCCATCCCCCCTCCACCATCACGACCGCTGCCTGCAGACCCCCGAGTGGCCAAGGGCCTGGCCCCCAGGGCAGAGGCCAGCCCCAGTTCGGCAGCAGTATCCTCACTGATTGAGAAATTTGAAAGGTGAGTTTGATCCCTGGGGGACCCTGTCGGGGTGAGGGTGGGCTCAGGACAGGAAAGACAATTATAAGACAGGCTTCTCAGTCAAACTCACACCCTTCCTCCATATGTGTCCACCACCCACCTCAGAGAGCCTGTGATTGTCGCCTTGGATAGGCCAGTCCCTGGCCCCAGCCCAGGTCCCACAGAGCCAGCCATGTTGCCACAACCACCCGTGCAGCCACCAGTGCCCCAGCTCCCTGAGGGCGAGGCCTCCCGCTGCCTGTTCCTGCTGGCTCCTGGGCCCCGGGACGGTGAGAAGGTGCCCAACCGGGACAGCGGCATTGACAGCATCAGCTCACCATCCAACAGTGAGGAAACCTGCTTCGTCAGTGATGACGGGCCCCCCAGCCACAGCCTCTGCCCCGGGCCCTCTGCCCTGGCTAGTGTCCCTGTTGCTTTGGCTGACCCCCACCGGCCCAGCTCCCAGGAGGTTGATAGTGACCTGGAGGAGGAGGACGACGAGGAGGATGACGAGAAGGACAGAGAAATCCCAGTGCCCCCGATGGAGAGACAGGAGTCTGTGGAGGTACTAACCCATGTTCACTAAGTGACAGGACCGTGTGGAGAAATCAGGAGCCTGGCTGTTCTGCTTGGTTCTTCCCCTTTCTCGGTATTTTTGGAAATAGCATGTTTCTACTCTGGATGTTGGGCTTCCTTGGTCCACTGGTACTAAATATGAGTAGCAAACCCCTGTCCACATCCCATCATTGTGACTACCAAAATCACCATGCATAGTTACAAATGCCCACTTGGGAAGTTGTTCTACACTCACCAAAGAACCACTAGATGGACCTCAGTTTTTCCATCTTGAAGATGGGCATCCTGCTTGGGGATCTTTAAAGTCCTATTCTAGCTGGAAAATCCTATGACTCAGTAGCTATGTGACATTGGGCAAGTCCGATCTTAC